TATATAATTCTTGGTTGAAAATTTTTCTCTTTCAGGGTTTTATATATACCATCCCATTGCCTTCTCACTTGCATGGTTTCTGCTGAGAAATAGAGCTTAATTCTTACTGGTTGTCCTTTGTAAGTAACTTTTTGTTTTTCTCGTGCTGCTTTCAGGATTCTTTCTTTGTCTTTGGTTTTGATGAGTGTGATGGTGATATGTCTTGGTGATTTTCTTTTGGGGTCTATCCTGTTTGGGGTTCGTTGGACTTTCTGGACTATCCATTCAGATATATTTTCATCTCTCGTCATATCAGGGAAGTTCTCCTCCAACAAATCTTGGATAATTTTCTCAGTTGTTTTATTTTCTCTTCCTGTTCTAGAATTCCAATGACACATAGGTTATTCCTTTTGATGGTTTCCCACATGAATGTTAGGCTTTCTTTATTTTGTTTTGATCTTTTTTTCTGAACGATTACTTTCCAAAGAAGTATCCAGATATTTGTCTTCAATCTCATTAATTCTGTCTTCCATTGCCTTAGTTATACTCCTTTACCCTTCCAATGTGTTATCTATTTCTGACAATTTAGTATCAATCTTCTGGACTCTATCTGTAGATATGAATCATTTCTAATTTTTCATTTATTTTGTCATTTTGTTCTTGTATTTTCTTCCAAAATTCTTCTAGAGTTTTGTTTGTGTTTTTCTTGGTCTGTCGCTCAATCCTTTGAAGATACCTAAATATAATTCTTTTGAATTCCTTATCAGAGAGTTCCAATGCTGCTTCTTTGTCAGGGATGTGTTCTGGGTCTTTGTCCTGCTCTGTTGTTTCTATCACTTTATCTTGCCTCTTTGTGTGGACTGTGATGGTCTGTTGTCTCTGAGACATCGTGGTGGTGTTGTATTTAGATCTCTGTTAACTGTTTGTGGAGAACAGCCAAGGGTGAGTCAGGCTCTTCTTGGTGGTTGTTTATCATGGGCCTTTTGGTAGAGAAGGAAGTGGTGGCTTTCACTCAGTAAGTGAAGCTACAGGAGGTGTGGGTGTAGTTTTGTTGTATGGGGACTGTTGCTGTCTTCCACTCAGTGAGACAAAAGTAACAATTGAATAACCATCAAAAAAGTAAAAGCAAGTGGGCTGTGTAATCACACAGGAACAGTAACCATAAAAACAAAAAAAGGGGAAAAAATGCAATATCTGGGTAGAGGGCAATAAGAGAAAAAAGGTAGCCAAAGCCAAACCCATTGCTGTCCAGTCAGACTGACTCATACCGACCCCTTTTTGGGTTTCTGAGGCAGTATCACTATCAAAGTAGATTGCCCAACCTTCCTTCCAAGGATTGGCTCGTGCGTTTGAATGCCAGCCTTCTCGTTAGCAATCAAATGCCTTGGGCACTACGCCACCAGAGCTCCTAGAGATGGAGAATAATGAAGAAGAAAAATGGGAACCATGCAAAAAGAAAAGCAAGGAACAGCGTTAACCACAAGAAAGAAAAAAAAAGAAAAATTCAGCCAGGTACAGAGAAAAGAAAAAAAGCTGAAGACTAGAATCTGGGAGTGGAAGAATAAAGAAAAATAATAAAAAGGACAAAAGTAATAATAATAATAGTAGTTTTAAAACAGACAAAAACAAACTAAAAAACAGAAAAAAGAAAAAAAAAAAATTGGGGCAGGGCAGGGCAGGCCACCCAGGTTCTGTCTGAGCACACAGACTGGGTTGGAATTCCTGCTGGCTAAGAAGTTGAGTGGGAGTGAGGGATGGCCCTACCTCCATTCATCAAGAGGGTGTGGGATATAAGAGTAACAAGGGGAATATTGCACCTTTCCAGTCGTCTGCATCCAGAATGTCCTTGCGGTTCCTAGCAAGTGGAGACTGTTCTTAAGTCCCTAGAATCTGGGAGAATGCTGTGGCTTTAAATATCCAAAATGGTCAGACTGCTTGTAAGCATTCAAAATGGCTGCACCCCCCGGACAGGCAAAATTCCACAGCTCAGCCCACTTTCTTCTCTGCTTCCTCTTTTATTCGCCAGCCACAGAGCAGTCCTCCATGCAGTCCCTGGCTAGCAAGGCTGATTTTTAGGTTAATTCTTAGGTCCTACCACCACTTGGCAATATCCAAGCTGTCTGTGCCGTCAGGATCATTGGCAGACTGCGGCTCCGTGTGTCTCCTTTTTTGGTGTTTTCATGCAAATTCTTCTGCTAGTTGGAGTTTAGTCCACTTCTATATCCTTCTCTTTAAGGCTCAGAGGTTCAGGATTATCTTCTGTATCTGTGTTAACTGGTTCCCCTTTTCTTTGTTGAAGAGGGTCTGTGCATTCTTTTTGCCTAATCTGCCATCTTACCGAAACACCCTCTCCTGAGCTTTTGCCAACTAGTGTTGGTATCTGATTCTTGCCTGAAACAATCTCTACTTCTTCTTTCATTGCCACAGATTGTATTCACTTAGGCCTTCAGTTCCTCACCGAGAACCCTCAGGACTGGAAGAACTCATCATTCTTCAGGCTGGAATTTTATAGGTAAGTCTTACCTTGAAGTCTCATATCCCAAGCGAGAAGGGAGTAATGTGGTAGACTATGACCTTTCAATACCTCCTGATACTTTTTGTTTTTCCAGACTCTTACAAGTTGACATCTCCTTTTACCTCAAAGGCATTGACCTACAGACGATTCGTTCCCGCGAGTTACCAGACTGTTACATTTTTCAAAATAGGGTAAAAGTCTTTGTTTTACTAAGCCACTTTTTATTATCTTTCTCTTTGCCTTTTGTAGATCCAGAGTGTAAAGTTTATCAGCCTGTAGATGTATTACATGCAGTCACTGTTAAAATCATTTTAATGACACATTATAAGCCCTGATGATCCAGAGATCATTAACTTCTGAAAACAAAGTGAGCTCTTTGCAGTTGTTTAAAACTAGATTTCTGAGTTGAAAAGAGGAGCTTTTGAAACTGGCTTTGACCTCCTACTCTCCTCACATATTAAAAAAAATCTCCTGTTTTAAGTATCAAAAATGTCTTTCCCATCTTCAAAGGCACGTTTTATACAAAGAAGTAGCAAATGTTTTCAAACCTGGTGGCAGAAACAGCCAAAGCAAAGATGGTATAGGACCAGGCAGTATTTCCTTCTGTTATACATAAAGCTACAATGAGTCAGAGCTGACTCAGGTAACTAAGGTAACTAACAACAATGACAGAGAAACAGTGGACCTCTGGAAGTTTATAGCTTAGTGAAGGAGATACCCAGGGGGAAAAAAAAAAAAAGTACATAGAGAAATGAAAGTAGTTACAGATGGTGATAGAGTGGTAAGGAAGAATAACCTCAGCAGAGACAAGCGTGATAAATTGCTGTGGACTGCGCAAGAGCAGCACAGGAAGGATCTGGATGGACAAGGAGGGGTTCATGGAAGAGTGAGGTTGGCAAGGGCGAGATCACTGAGGACTTTGTGGGGCACGGTAAACAATGTGGATTTTCAGAATTGGCTTTCTTTTTTCTTTTTACTTCTATTTGCTTTTAAGATGGTTCCTGGGTTGTGTAAACGGTTTTTACTTGACTACTAACTGTAGCACCAAAGAAGAAAGACCTGAGAATCTGCTTCCATAAAGCCAAGAAAACCCTATGGAACAGTTCTACTCTAAAATATGGGGTTGCCATGTGTTGGGCTTAACTTGATGGCAATAGTTTTACAGTTTTTGGTTTCTGTTTTCTGCTTTAAAGGCTTGAGAGAAGTATTTTAGTTCTTCTCTTTGGGGAATTAGAAATATGAAGTGTCCAAGGTTAGTGGAGTTCTACTCATACTTTGCAGTTTTAGAAATGAGGCCTTCATGGTTAAACTCTTGAACTTCAAGTTTGGTGCTAAGGATATTATTGGAGTACACAGAATGTGCTTTGTGTTCAAAGACACTTAGGTGCAGGTAGGTTTGACCACACAGCACCTATACATTCGGTTCTCTAAGCTGGCTCTCTGCCTGTGAATTTTTTGGATTTCATAATGTGGTCATCCTCAAAACCACTTGGCATATAATGCTTACAAATTTTACATGATAGACAAGCAATGTGGAAGATTTGGGGCCATTTGGAAATCTTAAAGTTCAATCTGCATCTTTGGAGCAATCTTTGTTTTCTGATAAACAAAGAAACAATAGATTTCCAGACTAGTGAAAACCTAGAGTTTCACACCCGAAGTCCCTCCGAAGTCCTAAATGGAAGCAAATGCTTTCCAATTGCATTCAGTATTATGAATGAGACCATTGTGTTCTCTTGTCAAAATTGACAAATTCTAGTCTTTGGTCCTGGGAGTGGCTGGTTGTTTTGCTCTAGGATTTCTCTGAACCAGAATTGTGAAGTCATAGATCTAGCAGAACTTCCTATGTTCATACTTTGGACTATGTATTTTTCTTTAATAATAGAAAGTTGTGAAGAAATTATATGATGAAGCCATTTTTATCAGCCTAATTCTCTTTGGATTAGCAAGCTGTTTAGACGCTTTTACTTTTTTATTTTTTAAAGCACAACTGATTTAACAAGCTAAACTTTCTGTTGGGTTGTAATCTCTGTGCTTTTGTGTCTCCAGATTACCTATGACAATAAAGCTCACAGTGGCAAAATCAAAATATATTTTGACAGTGATGCCAACATCGAAGAATGTAAAGTCTTAAACATATCTGGATCTAGTAAGTAAACTATAGGATTGCCTATTATGGGTTATGGATAATTTTTAACATTTTATATTAGGATTTTGTGTGTTTAAAATGGTTTGAGTGGTAATAGGAGGAAAGGGCTCCAGAAAGCCTTATTTTGAGTACTAGATTCTATAAAGCACATTTCAAAGCTTGATTTTTTGTTCAGTTCAGCAGATGTTTATTTTACACCTCTTATGGGAGACAGCGTGGGTCAGTGGTTAGGAGCACAGACTCTGAAGCCAGATTGCCTGGGTTCAGATCCTGGCAGAGTTGACCATGCCTGTGATCTTGGACAAGCTACCCACCTTCTCTATGTCTCAGTATCTTTCTCTGCAAAATCAGAGTAACAATAGCATTTGCCTTCTAGAGTTGTTGTTGTGGGGTGCCTTTGAACAGATTCTGCCGACTCATAGTGAGTCAGACTCTATAGCCCCAAAGAGTTTTCAAAGCTGTAATCTTCACAGGAGCAGCCCACTAACTAGGTCTTTTCTCCCATTGAGCAGCTGGTGGGTTTGAATCGCTGACCTTTCAGTTAGCAGCCCAGCACTTAACCATTGTGCCACCAGAGCTCCCCTTCCAGGGTGCTGAGTATTAAATGAGTTAGTATGTAAAGTAAAGCCCTGTGAACAAGGGTTGATGCTTATTCATTTCTAGCCATTCTGGCAACAGAAATTTCCCTAGGGAGATTGACATATTATAAAGTCTCTAATGGGTAGTCGATAGGAATATGTGGTGGAAGTGCAACAAGATATGAGGGAGGGTATAGAAAGCAGATATTAATATTGACTGGGGTAGAGTGGGAAATAAATTCTAGAAATGATTCTTGGAGGCTTTGATCTGAACCTTAGACAGTGGAGAGGGATCAGGTCAGAGCTGAGAAGGCAGCCTGTACAAATCCTTAGTCATTTACTCAATCATCCTTGAAAGTACTTCTTAATCCAAACATGAAAACGGCATCTGTTCACTCAGTAAGGGATCTTGATGATGTTAATGATGGAGGTCAATTGTTTTTTAATTTACAGGTTCTAGCTGCATTTGCCTTTAGTCAGATGGTTAGGACAAAATAAAATGTAAAATACATGTACTTTCTAATTATTTTAGATTTTTAAAAAATCTGTGTGATCTGTTACTTTTAAGTTGCATGATACGTTCTGATGATTTTGACGTTTGGTTTCAGTAGTTTTATTAAGTGACTTAAACTCTGTTCAGAACACACAGTAAGCAGCTGTGAAAAAGTGGTTGCCGTTCCCAGCAGCACGCAGTCTGTCAGTCTCTGCCCCAGCCTCTGTCTCTCACATACAAACCCCCCACACACATACATATACACACACACACACACACACACATACATGCACATACCCACACATACACAAGCATATTTTTCCAAGCACAAGTTGTAGCCATTTTCTGTGGCAAAAACTGGTACAGAAATGAGGCAAGCATAGTTTAGTTCTTGAACTTGTGGTTTGGTTGTAATGACACTGTAGTACACAGAATGTGCTTTATGTTCAGAGACACTCAGGCACGTAAGAAATGTGGTTTGGAATAGTCGTTATAAAGATCAAAGTGACTGAATGAGTTAGTCGGTCAGTCATGTTAGAACACTGTTTCCTTTTCCCCACAAGGCTCCTAGGGTTTCTAAGAATCAGAATCGACACGATGGATACTCTGAAGAGAGGAACTCTGGCTCCCTCCTGTGGCTAGTGAGGAGAAACACAAGCGTCCCAGGCCCCATAGTCTTTTATACGCTTCAGAGAACTGCAGCCTAAGAAATTGGATTCTATCGCTAGGTGATTACAGATGTAAAATAAAGTGATATGATGGGGAAGCATTGAAAAGCTGAAATTTAGAAACCAACTTAGGAAAATGGGTTTTATTTTTCTGTGTATGAAGCTATGATGATTGAGTAGCCTGACTTTTGGGGGAGCTGAAATGGGGGAAGTGGGAAGTTGGGGAAGGAAAACATCTGGTAAGAAACTTTAGCTATTTCCAAGAAATTCTGAAGTTTATACATATTCATACACTTAACCCTAGAGTTTTCTCCCATTCTTACCATTACTCATGTTATCTCAAGGTGAAATATGAGGTAATGGCCATTTTTCAAGAGCAAACTTCATGTTGCTGTGTGTAACTCCTGTTACTAGTGTCCAGGTGTGCCACTAACTTTCACTTTAACTTGATTTCATAAATATAGAAATTTGGGGACTTGGGAGTCAGGGAGGTGTTGGAGGGTAAGATTCCCCATTGATGGGTGATGTCAGCAGGTGTTACAAGGAAAAGAACTTTGGTAAGTTTAGGTAACTTTGAGAAGCCCTGGGTTTGAATCACACAGGTGGGCTGGTGTATGTGTAGGCATTCTCCAGGCGGAAGGACTGGGTAGCGTGCAGAAATGCTCTAGAATTTCTAGTCCAGATTGATAAGGACTAGTCTTTTACAAGGAGCTCTGATAGCATAGTGCCTAAGGCACTTGACTGCTCACCAGAAGGCTGGCGGTTCAAACCCACCCGCCACTCCTCGGAAGGAAGGTTGGGCAATCCTACTTCCATAGTGATACTGCCTCGGAAACCCAAGGAGGGGTCGCTATGAGTCGGGGCTGACTCGATGGCAAACAACAACAACAGTCTTTTACAAGGCCAGATTTAAGAAATGGTCTTTTGCAGCAAAATGGTTTCAACAGCGTAAGAAAGCAATTACAAAGTTCATAAAATACTTTCTAGCACACCGAAGTAATCCTATCAATAAGTAAAAGAAAGACAGAATACTACAGTAGATCTCCTGTTAGAAGAAACGCCTTATGCTTTTAGGTCTGGGCTTCAGTTTTCTTTTCTCATCTGTACCGTAATGCCCAATATAAACAACCTTAGAGAATTCCTTCCTAATTTAGCTTAGAATGGAAGGTACCAGAAGCTGTCCCTGCATTTCATATTTCGGTTCCATCTTCATAAGAAAAGCCCCTATTCCTTATGCCCCATTCCATGAACCACCACCTTCACTTCCCCCTGCCCCTCCCGAGACACACACACACACACGCGCGCGCGCACACACGCACGCACACACGTACACAGAAATAAAGGATTAGTTCTGGTTGAGTTGTTTTCCTACCTCCCCATTAGATGGTATCTTGGGGTAATGCATATTTTCTTAACAATAAAAAGTAAATGTAACAATGTGTACTGGGTACTCTGCTAATAAGCACTTTACATCAATTGTTTCATTCCATTCTCATAACAGCCTATAAAGCAGGTTTTGTTCTCCCCATTTTGTAGCTGAGGAATCTGAAGCTTAGCAAGGTTACACAGTTTGTTCAGTGGATTACATTTACTCACTGACTGTGCTCATAACCCACTGAATGAGCTGGTTTGCTCTCAGACAGACTTTCAATGCCATGCATACCTTTGCTCTTATTAAATTCCTTTTCGCTCTGGTCTTTCTCTTAGATGCCTTTTGTATAGCAGATATTGCTGGTGAGTTCTCCGCTATTGAGACTGTCCTCTGAAGGTTGCAGGTCTCAAGCCTATCTCCTCCTTCTCTGGCTAGTTTCCGAGATCATCTTTCTAATTCGGAAGCATTGCTGCCCCCAAAATCCTTCCTTGTTGCTTTCCTCTCTATGGTCTCTGAGTGGCCATGTCCACACTTGGGCTTCAGCTTCCACTGAAGGCCTACAGTTCCCACATCTGCCTCTCATAATGAATGTCCACACTGAACTCAGTTTACCAAAGACAGAAAGCCAGGCGTCATTCTTGACTAGTCCTTCTTCTTTATTCTTTATGTCTAATTGGAGATCAGGTTGTGACTTTCTCATGATCTGTGTGTTCTCCTTTCCCTCTGCCTGAAAGCTCAGGGCTTTGCAAGTTCTAACTTAGATTACTCAATGGTCTTCTCACCTTCTACTTGATTCTTTTACTTGTAAACATACTAAAGCATTATATCAAGCACAGGTGCTATAGCATTGAATAAAATACACATGATCTTTGCCTCATTGAGCTACTCATTTAGTGAGGAAGATGGATATTAAATGATAAAATGGTTAAGCACTGGGGTGCTAACTGGAAGTTTTGAGGCTCAAGCCCTTCCAGGGGCACCTTGGAAGAAAGCCCTGGAGGTCTACTGAAAACTCAGCCATCAAAAACCCTATGGCAATGGATTTATAAGTGTTTGCTCTATTATGTGCCTGGGCCATTCCAAGTGTTTTTCGTATATATGCTTGTTTAATCTTAACAGCAGCTCTGTAATGTAGATAATTTTTTATTCTGCCCATTTTGGAGATGAGAAAACTGAGGCACAGGGGTTAAGGAACTTCTCCAAAGCTCCACAGCTTCTGTGTGCAGAGCCAAGATGTAGACCCAGGCTGTGGCCCTTCAGAGACCAAGTCATTTACAGTTTTCATCCTGTCTCTGTGCTCCATGCTGTGTACCTTTGAACATGTGATTACAGGTTCGGTGTCCACCAAGAAAAGGTGAATGAGAGGAGCTATGGGTGTGTATAATCATAGAGAGTGCTATGAAAAACTGTAGGAGGAGGCTAATAGAGATGGGAATTTTGGGAATTCTGTTCTGAGGAAGGGGAATCTGAATCCTGAAACTGAAAAGGAATAATCTGGACATATTTAGAGGAGAGGCGCTGTTCTGGGCAGAGGGATCAGCATGTGCAAAGTCCCTGAGGCAAAAGAGCCCGGTATGAGCAGGGGACATGGCAGACCAGTGCGGCTACTGTGTGTGTGTGTGGGGGGGATCAGAGGGTAGCAGGTAATACAGCTGCAGAGGTGGGCAGGGGGCCAGGTGGGGGAGAGCCGGGGTTGGGATTCTTCTGACCATGAAGTCTGAGAAAAGCTAAGTTCCTTCCAGTACATTCTCCTTGCTGCTGTGTATTCCAAAACAAAAATCCTATTGTCATTCTTCTCCTTACTTTCATTTCAAGAAGTTATTATCTCCAGTTGCTAAGACAGCTTCCTGAATGTGTACTCTTTTCTGGGAAAGGGCACAGCTTCTGGAGAAGCAGAAATAGGGAATCTGAGTGGTGGTGGTCTAAGTTGTTTGTTCTCTCACTAATGGCAAACCTGATGTCTGTGCCTTTTATGTGAAAGAAACTTGGAGGACTTCAGCAATTTTGCCTCTTTTGAATGGAGCCCAAATGGACCATCTTCTATTGAATTCTCTTCTGTAATAAATAGTTATAAATAAATAAGTTTTAGTATATTAACAGTTCATATGCTTTTAAATGTACAACTCTTCACACCAATGAGTGTTTTGCCTTATTTATGGACTTCTGCATGAATGCAGTCTGATTTGTTTCTGATTCTTATTTTGTTTTAACAATAGAGAAAACATTTATCATTTGCATTGCTTTTCCTTATTTGGGAATTATTCTTGATTAAGGTGCATTTAACATTTGAATTCTGTTTTGTTCCTCAGTTCAGAAAAACACCCAGTATGTCCTGGTGTTTGATGCATTTGTTATTGTGATTTGCTTGGCATCTCTTATTCTATGCACAAGATCCATTGTTCTTGCTCTAAGGTTACGAAAGGTAAGTGTGCATTTGAATTTTCTCCTTACCCTCTAGGCCTCTGCCCACAGTTTGCCCAAATAGTGGGCCACTGATGGTGTGTGCTCCTCCCTTCTCTAGTAGCCTTCAACTAAATTAGATTCTTTTGAGTGATTGCCCCCATGAAGTGTAGGAAGTGAGTAAAGCCTCCAGCATGTCAGGTGGGATCAGATAATTATCCTGCCTGAAATTGTGCTAATAAGCACAGGTACACAGTAGTGAACTCTCAGGCTTTTGAATGTTTCTAGAATAAATGAGGCCTTTTAAAGTCAGGAGTGATCTTAATAACAGAGTAATAGTGTGTGTGTGTTTCATCTTTTGTCTTCAAACCAGAGTGCATTTTGACAGAGAAAAATGGTAAACGGGTTATAATGAACATAAAATATTTTATTCTATTTTAAAAAAGTAGTTTTAAAATTCTCCCCAGAATTTCATTTTACCTTTTTACCCTCAGGACTTTTATGAACATAATCCAATTCCCTACAAATCTTATTCTGGTATTGATATGTATGTGAATGCATACTAGGACCAGGAGAAATGGGAAGGAATTCAGATATCATTTGTGGAGCCATGAGATAGTCAACATACTAATTTCCTTAATCCTGACCTTTTGAATTTACTTCGTAAATATTCCCCTATCTTATCCCATCTCCCCAACTCCCTTGATACTCTGAATCTAAGCTCAGAACCCTGGCTCTGCCATAGTGAAGGGGTTAGCAATTGGATGAAATTAGGAGCTCACATTCTGGGCTCATGGTGCCTGGGTTCAAATCTTGGCTGAACTTCTCCATACCTCAATTCCCTCCACTGGAAAATAAGGCTAACAGTACCTACTCCGTAGGGTTGTTGTCAGATTGGATGTTGTTGTTGTTGTTATGTGCCATCGAGTTGTACTCGACTCGTAGCGACCCCTCCTTGGGTTTCCAAAGCGGTACCACTACAGAAGTAGATTGGCCAACCTTCCTTCCGAGGAGTGGCTGGTGGGTTTGAACCACCAGCCTTCTGGTTAGCAGTCAAGTGTCATAGGCACTACGCTAGATTGGATAAGGTGATATATATGTGAAGTATTTGGAATGTCCTGTGTGTGTTAGCTTTATGACCAGAGCCAGTTGGAATTAGAGCATGAGGCATCTATTTAATATTTTTTCTTTTTTATTATGGTTTGGGTGAAAGTCTACAGAGTAAATTAGTTTTCTATTCAACGATCCATACACATTCTTTTTTGTAATATTCACTACAGTCCTCACAGTGCAGCAGCATTCTTTCCATTTCCTCCCCATGCCTACTCCCCTTCATCCTTCCTTCCCATCCCCTTCTGCCTTCCGTGCTCTATCCCTGGGCAAATGCTGCCCTCTGGATCTCATATGGTTGATCATTCTAATGAGTGCATACCATCTTAGTATTACTGTTCACCTTATAGGCCTGTCTATCAATTGGCTGAGAGTTGAGTCATGGGGGTTGTGTTTACTTCCTGCCTTTGAAGGATGTCTAAGAGCCGTAATCTCAGGAATTCAACCAGTCTTTATATGACTGGTAAGCCTGGTCTTTTTTATTTTATTTTATTCTTTTTATCACTTAGTTTTGTTCCACATTTTTCTTCCACTCTATCCAGGACCTCCTACTGTGATCCCTTTTAGAGCA